TCTCCCATCTCCTTCCTCAGGCCTAGGACTACATCTGGCCCGAAGGTAGTGGCGACTGTGTGCATCGGAACCGGACAGGCGAATTCTGGAACTCGCCTCCCTGATGGGTCCACAGGTACCTCCATCCAAGATGAACAGTCTTCGTTACCTGCTAGCATCCAGGACACCAGTTCCGCCAGCTTCCTGTCTGTTAGGTCAGTCACAGGTCCGGCTGAGCCATGATGGTTGCACCCAGGCGCCTTACCGTAGTCAGCTGCACCCATGACTGACGTAACCTGTTGTTTGGCCAGGGGAGTAGGCCAGGCCACAACTGCCTCAGGCTCCCCATGCCCAGACCTCTGGGGGTCTCTTCCTACCGGTGGTTTCCAAAACTGAACCCCTGACATGCCCCTCTGACAGTTACCATTCTCGACTGTCAGACTAGGCACGGGCGATTGGTTCCTGACTAGTGACATGGACCCAAGTTGCTCTTCCCAGACAGGGCCGAACACCGCAAGGCACCTAAAGCAGGCAACTGCACCCAGTTCCATTCCGTATTGCAGGTCATTCCTAACCCCTGGGGAGGTGGTTGGTGCTTTCTCAACCCCAACTAGCTTTTCCGTAAATTCAGGCAAGCCACATGGGGTAGTGAAGGCTGACTCGTCCTGAACCACTTGGGTTGAAGATGGTAGCCCATACCCTCTGCTCAGGTCCATGATGGTTAGACCATGGGCCCCTTCCGGAAGCTCCATTACCTCATGGCTCCTGGGCATGGGGTAGTCCACAACCACAGGGCTGGCGCTCAGTTTTCCAAGGTCCTCAAAAAGCCGGGGTCATCTGATCCTGTTTGAAGACCGAGACTACCGGGGATACCCAGACTCTAGCTGACCCCTGGATTCCGGACTGCGCCATTCCCTCTGTCTCTTTGGCCCATTCAGCCTGCACCTCCTGGGAGATCAGGTTGGCAGAAGGCAGGAGGGGGGCATGCATTTTGCCGTCCACCTCCTGAATGACATGGTGAGCTCTCCCCGGGTTTCCCAGAATCCAGACACCATCTATCATAGCATTGCCAGCAGCTTCGGGACCTGAGCGGAAAGGAGAGGGGATTGGGGCTGAGGGCCACAGCCCCCTCTCTGAGATCCGAGGATCAACCCCAATAAGGCCTCTCGCACTCCCCCTCCAGGTGTGCTGTCATCGCCTAGGGCACATGTTTGTCTGCCTGTTGACAGACCATGACAGGTCAGCTCAGATGACATAATATATGTGAATTTTACGGTATCCCTTTAATAATTCAGTACAATAAGGCTATAAATAGCATAAAGATACACTTTTCCCCAAAAAGTGTAAAAACTGTGAATATAAATATGCTAATACCAATATTCTTAAAAGTATATATCACACAAATATATTAAAAGAAAAAAAAAAATTCAAAATGTAACAGTCCAAAAATAGATAAGAAATAAAATTAAATAAATAATGTTATAAAAAGGCACTCTGTGCCAACTTCAATCATCAATCTTCATATTCAGCCTTTCAATGGCTCAAAGAAACCGCAACATAAAAAGAAAAATCACATAGTGCATTATCTTAAATAAAATATAAATGAAACAGATGTGATAAACGCAAACAACCATGCGTGATCACAAATAGTGAAAAAAAGTGAAAGTGTCAAAATAGTGCCAGTGAAACAATCGAGTGAAAAATATGCATCCAAAAACAACATGTGAAACACTGTGTCCACTTCTATAGTGTAAGGAGTGAATACCCTTACCAAAAATATGTAAATAATATGCCTTTACACCTCCCGGCGAGGGTATTATCACAAATTCTGCTTCAACCAAAGGATCATCACAGCCTCATGGATCAGATCAAGATGTCATCCAGATATAGCAGCTTTCAAGTATAACCATGAATCTCCACCAATCCACCGATGCCCCCATATATAGAATAAATCATAGCTTAAACCCGCTTGTACAATTTAAAATACTTTATTGAATATGCTTACATCATGATTCCTCTTTAAAATAGCCTTTATCAGAATATCCAAACCTCTCAGAGTTCCCTGGTTCCTCCACTTGGACTTCTATGAGGTTTTACCAGATTCTAAAATGGCCGCCGGATCACTTTCAGTTCCTCTATGCGTCTGACATCACTTCCCTTGACATGTTTCGTCACCTGACTTAATCATAAGAGATGAAGATGCCAGACAGGAAGGATCAATTTATACCCCTCTCCAGCATGGTGCCGAGGCCAAAACTGCCATGTTGGAGTGGGGAAACACCGCCACCAGTACATAGTGCATGGTTTACATAAATTATCATTGCAGCACAATAGTAACTTTACATAATACTCAAAAAACAATCATCCTACAACCAGAAATAAACATATTATACATAAAATACCCAGCACTATATACAACATTATACTAACTACTTTATATGCCTATGTATACAAACTATTAAATACACTGGGCTCCCTCTAGTGGGTATTTTGCATATTACAAGTAACATGACTTTATATCCACAATTAATATATAATAATAATATATAATAAACCTAAAACCTTCCTATTGTGTTATACTTCTCTCGCTTTTACCTGGACAAATATTTAAAATAAGCTATAAAATATTAAATAAATAATGTAAGCTTAAACTCCACTACTTAATCCTAAAACCAAAACAATCCTAAAATACTGAATAATCTGATACCGATACTAAAATATAATATAAATATAATAAGAATTAATAAACTACCTCGGATTCTCAATCCCACTTCATTATTAAAAAACTCCATAAAATCCTCTATAAACATTATATGCTAAAAATAAAATTAATTATTAAAATATATTGAATTAAAATTATAATTACATTTATAAATATAAAACAGCCATCATTATATATAATCAAAAATTGGAAATAAATGAATTTAAATCCAGATCCACATTTAAGCCATGCGGCCTTAACGTATGAAGCTCAAAAATCCAGAAAGTCTCATTCAGAGAGATGGCTTTCAATTTATCTCCACCCCTCCAAGGAGCTTCTATCCTATCTATGCCGCAAAATTTCAGGACACTAGGGTCACAATCATGGTGATCCCTAAAGTGTCTTGAAAGGCAGTGATCCTTCTTTCCTTTTTTGATATTCGCTATATGTTCACCAAGTCTAGTCTGTAGTTGCCTGGATGTTCTGCCCACGTACTGGAGTCGGCAAGGACATTCCAGTAAATAGGTAACATATTGGGTGGGACAGGTAATAAACTTCTTAACCTTATAGTTATTACCTGTAACACATGACATAAATTCCGATATAGATTTTTAATATTGGTGACCTTACATATTCTATACTTTTTACATGGGTAGAACCCTTTAAGATCAAACATATGTAATTTACTATGTTTGGGAGGAGATATAATACTTTTCACCAAAATGTTTCTCAAATTACACATTTTCTTATAGATAAAGGAAGGCTTTTTTGGTAAAACAGGACCTAATATATTATCCTTCATCAATAAAGGCCAGTATTTATAAAAAATAGACTCAATTTCTTTGTACTGACAATTAAAACCCGAGATAAAAGCATATTCCACCTGATTAGTTTTTTTCAGATTTTTCTTCAATACCATTTTAATTTTCTTATCTCCAATATATCTTTTACTAACTTTAAATCTTGTGTGTTCTAATACTTCCGGATCATACCCTTTTTGTACAAATCTATTTTTTATTATCTCTGTTTGTTCTATGTACTCTTTTAATCTTGAGCAATTTCTAAGAATTCTAATAAACTGTCCTTTAGGTATGCCATTAATCCAGGAAGGATGATGGGAACTATTAGTCGGGATATATCCATTCTGGTCTGTCTCCTTAAAATACGTTTTTGTGAATAAAACACCACTATCCTTAAAAATACTCAGGTCCAAAACTGATGTTCTGTCCATATGAATAGAAAAACCTAATTCAGCTCATTATGCTTTATAACATTTAAAAAGGCTTTCAGTGAATCCATCGAGTCCTCCCATATGACTAAAATGTCGTCTATATATCTTTTCCAAAGGGTGAGCCCTGACCACTTTTTATTAAAAATCTCCTTCTCCTCCCATTTACTCAAAAAAAATATTTGCCAGGCTGGGCACAAATTTTGCACCCATTGCCACACCCTTTCTTCTGTTCATAGAATTTACCATTGTACCAGAAATAATTTTTATCCATACAGAATTCCAATAATTTGATAATAACTTTCCTCTGCTTGATATGAAGATCTGTATAATTTTTCAAGGCCCATTTGATTGCTTTAATCCCATCTTCATGTTTGATATTAGTATATAACGAATTAAGATCTATGGTCACCAATATTGTGTCATCGGAAACCTTCATGTATTCTATTAGATCTATCACATCCTGCCCGTCCTTAAGATAGGAGGGCATCTGTTTTACTATTGGTTGAAGATACCAATCAATATATTCACCCATTCTAGAATGTATAGAACCTATCCCATTAATAATGGGTCTACCAGGGGGATTTACTAGACTCTTATGAATTTTCGGCAGATAATATATAATAGGCATTTTACAATGTGATGGTATTAGATATTTTGCCTCTTTGGCATCCAATATCCCATCCTTTTTAGCAATATTAATCAATTCCTGAAGCGATTTTTTTGTACTTTACAATAGGATTATTTTTTAATAAAATATAAGTATCAGTATCATTTAAAATATCATTCATTACTCCCTCATAGGCTAATCTATCTAAGATCACCACCCCCCCTCCCTTATCCGCCGGCCTAAACACAATATCATTTTCTTTCTTTTAACTACGTGCCGACGGCTGCACTGCGGCCGGCCAGTTCTGGGTGGACGTCATATGACGTCCTCCCAGAACGCGCTCTCTGGGGCGCGCATCCGGCGATCTCCGTGATCGCTGTGTCCTACGGACACAGCTGATCACGTGATGTGGTAAAAGGCCAATCACAGCGGCCTTTTACCACGTGATCAGCGGTGTCCAATGACACGCTGATCAGAGGAAAATGCAAGTGCCGGTTCTCGGCTGCACTTTCCTCACGCTGTCAGATCATGAGGAAAGTACTGCCGAGAACCGGCAGTTGTCAGAGCGGGGATCGGCACCGATCATCAGGGCACTGATGATCAGTGCCCTGATGATCGGTGCCCAGCAGTGCCACCCGCAAGCTCCGCCCACCTGTGCCCAGCAGTGCGCCCACTAGCTCCGCCCACCTGTGCCTAGCAGATCACCCACCTGTGCCCAGCAGTGCACCCACCTGTGCCCAGCAGTGCACCCACCTGTGCCACTCTGCAGTGACACACACCTGTGCCCAGAAGTGCCACCCATCTGTGCCCAGCAGTGCCACCCACCTGTGCCCACCCACCAGTGCCCACCTGTGCCCACCCACCAGTGCCCACCCACCAGTGCCACCCACCAGTGCTGCCAGTCAGTGCCACCAGTCAGTGCCCAGGGGTTGTGCCAGTCAGTGCCGCCAGTCAGTGCCCAGCAGTGATGCCAGTCAGTGCCATCTATCAGTACCCATCATCAGTGTCACCTATCAGTGCCGCCTATCAGTGCTGCATATTAGTGCCACCTATCCATGACACCTCATTAGTGCTGTCTATCAGTGCCGCCTATCCGTGCCACCTCATTAGTACTGCCTATCGGTGCCCTTTAGTGCCGCCTATCAGTGCCCATCAGTGCTGCCTCATCAACGCACATCAGTGAAGGAGAAAAATTACCTGTTTGAAAAATTTTATAATAGAAACAAAGAAAATTTTTTTTTTTTTTTAATTTTTTTGCAATTTTTGTATTTATAGCGCAAAAAGTAAAGCGCCCAGTGGCGATTAAATACCACCAAAAGAAAGCTCTATTTGTGAGAAAAAAATGATCAAAATTTCATATGGGTACAATGTTGCATGACCGCGCAATTGTCAATCAAAGTGCGGCAGTGCTGAAAGCTGAAAATTGGCCTGGTAAGGAAGGGGGTATAAGTGCCTGGTAGGCAAGTGGTTAATGATTTCAAACCTATTTTAAACACTGCTTCTTCTTTAAAATTCTTATTCTGGATATCCCTTATTTCTGCAGTAACCATCTGTTTAAACACCTCAACAAATTGATTTTTATTATTCACTGGATTAAAGACCAAATTATTCTTCAATCCACTATGTAGGAACATATCTGAGGGGCTCCTAATATTAGCAAGTGTATTCGGCCCTGGTAAAGGGGAGAAGTACTTCTTAATATTTAATTTTCTAATGTATTTGTTCACATCTACAAAAGTAAAATAAAGTATTTTATTTAAGATAATGCACTTGATTTTTCTTTTTATGTTGAGGTTTCTTTGAGCCATTGAAAGGCTGAATATGAAGATTGATGATTGAAGTTGGCACAGAGTGCCTTTTTATAACATTATTTAATTTTATTTCTTATCTATTTTTGGACTGTTACATTTTGAATTTTTTTTTTCTTTTAGTATGTTTGTGTGATATATACTTTTGGGAATATTGGTATTAGCATATTTATATTCACAGCTCAGATGACATGCTTTCAGGCTTCCATCCCCCTGTGGATAGGCCAGTCATTCCAGCCTCCCTGTCAGGCCTTTGTTTACTCTCCCCAGTAGGGGAGTGCACATTTAGCCAGAGGCTGAAATTCCCATATGAATGGCTTTCCAGGGCTGCCTTACTCCTGGAACTACAAGTCCCAGCTGGCTGTTTACCCTTCTCAGCAGGGCAACTCATAGCCAGCTGACCTCTGAAGCTCCTCTGTGAATCGTTTTTCAGTGCTGCCTTAGGCATGGAACTACAAGTCCCAGCCGGCTGCCCAATACCATGCAAGGCCAACGGCTGGGAACTTATCAAAGCACGATCTTTTAGGCCTGGGCAATGAACAGGCCTATCCAGACCATCCTTTTGCTCAGCCCCCTGTGCCTCTTTCGCAGCACTGTGGGTGACCCCCAACACTGAAAATGCATAATTTGTTTCATCATGAATATCATAATCATTGTTAGCATTACCAGCATTATCATCAACATTACTGACATTATCAATGACAGTGTCCTCGTCATCATTATCATTACCATTATCAACAGTTACGTTTATAATACCAATGACACATGAGTTCAATACCTCCCCAGGCAAGGGGATTTCTTCCCGTCCTCCAGCTAATGGAGAATCCTGTAGCCCCACTCCATTCCCAGCCCCCTCCCTCTGTCCATCCACAGGCTGCCCAGACATTACCCCAATATCTGCACACAGTACCTTGGCATGTCCAGAGAGTTCCAGAGGGCCCTTCCGGGTATTCTCGGCAGGGGCATAATAAGAAACAAGAGTGCCTAGATCAGCACCCAACAAAACAGGTGTGGGAATTTCCTCCGAGACCCCCACCTCCCTCATCCCCCTTCCCGCACCCCAATCTAGGAATACCTTTGCACAGGGTATGCGTGAACGGGTCCCTCCAACTCCTGTGAGGGTAAGGAACTTTCCTGGGATGAGGTTCCTTGCCTCAATTACCTCTGGCCGGATCAAGGTTACTTCTGCCCCGGTGTCCCAGAAACCAGTTACAGACCGGTTGCCCACAGTGACTGGCTGCAAGTTGGCGGTGGTTATCCGCACCTTCCTGCGAACGAACAGCACGGAAGAAGAGTTGCTGGCCGGCTGTCTGCTTCTGCTCAGGACACTGTGCCCTGAGATGTCCGGCTTCCCCACAGTTGAAACATCTGCGGTTGTCAGGCGGGAATGACTTGACTCACCGATGTAGGAGAGGTTGCTAGGGGTGATTTCCCCCCCTTTCCAGCCATTCAGAGGAGCCTTGTGATGGTCAGACACTCGCGTATGAACGAAGGTATCGGCCAAAACGGCTGCAGCTTTAGTAGATGCTGGCTCTCTCTCCAAGACAAACTGTCTGACATCGGCCGGGCAGATGTGCAACAGTTGATCTCGTATCATGAGATCTTCCAAAGACTCGTAGGTGTCAGCTTTAAGTCCCTTAGTCCACTGTTGAAATGTGGTGCGTAAGCGACTCGCCACTTCCGTGTAAGAGTCCCCAGGTCCCTTCTGCATGGACCTGAACCGCTTGTGGTACACTTCTGGGGTCACCTGGCACTTCCGGATGATGGCTTCTTTTAAAACTTTGTAATCATCGTTTTGCCCCTCTGGCAATTCAACAAACGCGTCCAGGGCCTTGCCTCGTAGCCCTGGTGTCAGGTACTGAGCCCATTGAGCTGGGGGCACATGGTACTGACGGCACGTTTTTTCAAATGACAGTAAATATGTGTCAATGTCACTATCTTTTTCCATCACTGGAAACTTGGCTGCGCCCCCGGCCAGAGTGGCGCCCCTGTGCTCTAGGGACCCGGGGTTCTGAACCTGTCGCTGCTGGAGCCTTGCCATCTCCAGCTCGTGCCGATGATCAGCTTCCCTCTGCACCGCCTCTCTCTCAGCCGCTCTTTCAGCTTGGCGTTCCGCAGCTTCTCTATCAGCCGCAGCTTAGCGTTCCGCAGCTTCTCTGTCAGCCGCTGCTTGGCATTCCGCGGCTTCTCTGTCAGCCCCTGCTTGGCGTTCCGCAGTTTCTCTGTCAGCCTGGCGTTCAAGGAACCACAGGTATGCCTCAAGATCTGTCTCCATGAGGTGTTTCAGGGCTTCCTGCATCTGAGGAGAGTTTCTGCTGGTTACAGGCACTCCAGTGCTGACTCGCTCAGGCAGTGGTGCTGCCACCAATATGTCACGATCGCGGCGTCAGACCCCAGACCTTCTCACCAAACTCGTGACCGAAGGACATGCCAATCTAAAACCGCGATGTGATGTGCGTAACAATGCCACACCCAGCTGCACCCTGCACAACGATTTTCCAGCTAACGGACCACAATCGATGTACCGGCAGCCTGGGCGACTGTTACTGGGTCAGGTTAATTACGCAATTAACCCTTCAAACTGCCATCACCTCCTTTTTGTACAGAGAAAGAGGAAACTTGGTGTTATCAGCTATAACACTATGATTGAGATAATCGTCTGTATAAAACGGTCATAACACAGGCCTGTTATACAGAGGGTTAAACAAACAGTAGCGTTCTCTTTAGAGGCAGGGATTCGTAAATTGCAATACAGAGCTTTAGAAACCGTTCAACACTTTCAGAAAGAAAGATTTATTACTAAAAAGTCAAAAGGGTGCAATAAAAATATTTACAGAAACAAGATGTAACTATGATATAGATATATATATATATATATATATATATATATATATATACACAAAAAACCACAGCACAGCAAAGAGATATCAGAGAGAGGTGAAAGGGTTAAGGTACTTGCCAAAGTCCTGGGTTAGCAGATCCAAGTTTCAGAGCAAGAGAGCATGTGTCTCCCCAGGTGGTATTGATGTTAAAAATGGAAGACGTCTTCAACTTCTTCTCTTAGGCCTGACAGCCCAATTTGTAGTTCCCCAGCAGGGGGTGTCTCTGACGCCACGAACCAATGCCCCGTGTAGGCGTGGAGGTCTGGGTGTCAACCTAAACTAGAGCCAAAATCTTGTGTAGTTCTTATTTGGGCTCATAACTTTTCCTATGCACAAGTGACATTCCACCCGCGGGTAGATTATTATGCAGAGAAGTCTGAGGATTGATTAGATATGAATTATGAAAGTGTACACTGAACGGTTCGCGAGATCTATTTTTCTGCTTTCCTGTGTGTCCGAGACAAGGCGAGTGACCCATCAAACTGTTCGCCTGCTCATCGTCCGTCTGACGATATGTTCGGTTTTTATGTAAGTCTCTCATATTCCAAGATATGAGACATAGGGGGAAAATGGTTTTAAACCGAGGTTATCTGATTCTGTCACCTACGCTGAGTTACGTTTTATGAGGTTGGAATCTCTCTCAACTCTGGAGAAAGCTTGCCTTATCTCTTGCGAGGTGTGAAATGGCACAGGTTCTTGGGACAGTGAGACACCTCGTGGCTACCTGCTGGAATCTGGCCTGTGACACTTAACACACACACATCTGTCACTGTGCCTCTCAGAGTGAGTGTAACGGACCACCCGACAGCACCTCTATCAGTCCCCTGATAGAGCCTCTCCAGAGTGCGGAGTCTAAGTTCCGGAGCACTTGTTCACCAGGGCCCCTGATGGTGGGGATGGACTTGGAGCGCCCCGGGACCAGGTCGCAGCTACCGGATATCTCTATCAGTGGTAGAGGAGTCTGCCGGAGGATCCTGCAGGGTGAGAGTCTGATGTGAGGGGACCCGGGGATCCCTGAGGGATGGATGGATGGAGGAATGAGCAAGGGCAGAGTTAAACAAGCCGTGTCGGTAGCCAGGGGGGTCGGTGCAGTACAAAACAGTAGGCAAAGAATGGTCGGGTCACACGCCGGGTCAATAACAGGAGATCAAATCTAAAGGGAAACATCCAGGAGCAGAGTCAGGCAAGCCAAGGGGTCAGGACCAGAGAAGGCAGCTAGGTCAGACAATCCGGATCAAAGTACTCACAACACAGGTAACAGGATATGCAGAAAGACCATTCGGCAACAAGTGTCTGTGCAG